GCTTTCGCAAACTTAAAAAAGGCTCAACAAACCTAGAAGAGGAAAATACACTAAGTAGCTATTTAGTTCAAGTAAAAACATTGTTAGGTACAGAGTTGGCAATTGAAACAGACAATCTAAATATAGAGAATTTGAAAGGTTTGGCCAAAGTTTTTCACAAAGAATGGTGTCTAAGAATTAGAAAAGCTGAAGAGACAGCAATAAGAAATTGTATAGAGGAAAGACATGACCGCATTGTGTCCGATCAAAGAAGAATGTTAAACAGCTTGCTAAACCGACCGAGTAGAAAAATTAGAATAGATAGGGTAGTCAGAGATAATAAAGGTGAAGCCGAACTGGTGTACGAGCCTGCTGAGATATTGAAAGAAGTCAGGAATCACTTCGCAAACTAGTTTCGCAGAAGAAACACAGCGAACCCAAATGAGCTACCTCCAAGGTGGAAGAAGCAATACATCCCAAGAGAGGATATAAAGGAGGACTGGTTTGCAGATATTCTAATACACCTTTCTATGTTGTCCCATTCCTCATCAAGGTTTTTCGGTTTGTATTTGCACCATTGGTCTTTGAGTTTCTTGTCGAGTACTTCTTGATGCTCTTTCTATTCTTCTTTAGTTGCCGAGCTCACATCAATATTTACCCTCTTTCTGTAGTGACGCTTCTGTCTTGCCGTTTTTGCATTTCTTAACTCTAGGCTCGTAAGAATGCTTGCTCGTATGAGTTTGTAGTCACTCCTAGTGCAAATTGTCATATCGTCCACCTTGCTACTAGCTATGCTATTTCTCCACTGTTTCGAGACCCATATATAGTCAATCCGGGTCTCTGTAAAGCTATTTGACCAAGTTGGTGCTTGTGTAAGCTCTTGCATATCAAAGAACTGCTTCTCTTCCAAAGCTTGTAATATTCTTTGTTTGAGGCTCATTTTGTGACTTGTGCTTGTGTTACTAGGGTCATCACTCAAAGAACCTTTTGTGCTTACATTCAGGTCACCTAATATCACATGTTGCTGTGGTTTTCTTTTATGTTGACTAATACTATATTTCAGTTTTTGTAAGATCGCCTCTTGCACCTCTTTGTTGTTCGGGGCTACATATATGTATATAATATTAAATATAATACCTCTAAAGTCTAATACTAAACTTAAATAATATAGGTTATCTCTGACTATTGATATAATGTGTTGTTCCCATGTTTTTCTAATTAGTACTCCAAGTCCAGATCCTTTTTTCTTCTTTTTGTCAGAGTCTGCCCATATGCTAATATATATGTCATTGTCTTTTGTTGCAAAGGAGCCTTCTTTGCTGCTAATATTTGTTTCTCCCAACTAGGGATGCGGTAGAAACTTTAAGCATCAGAACAAGCTGAACGTAACTAAGTTATAACTCAATATAACTTTTCAGTTTTAAAGTACGGCATGTCACAATATATATACATACTATATTGTTACAACGTATCGATATAACTATATCATATCAAAACTTTCTTATGTGCTATAACTCAATTTTTCATATGCCGTAACTTTATGATTTTACATAAGACTTTATCAGGACATTTACTACGTATTAAATAAATTATGCGCTTATACATTGTTAGTAATACCTATTTGCTATTTACAATATAGCTAAAGAAATTCAGTATGTATTAATTAAATTATTTAGTTGCACAAAATATTTAATTAGATTAGAATAAAATCATTTTTGTTGTGCAAAGAGCTTTTAGAATAGGGCTGCTTGAGAAACTTGGTCGTATGAATAACTTTTATGATGGGATTTTTATTTTTATATGAATAACTTTATTAAATTATCTTGGTCATGCAAAAAACTTCATTGGGCGAGACTTTTTTGTTCTGATTATTTGCTGTATGAATTTTTGGAATAAAGCAGTTGATAGTTTCTTTGCATGTATTTATTTTAATTGCATTTAATTATATATATATTAGTTACTACATTTATAACTATGTAATCGTTTGTTCGTTTGGCTATTATTAATATTAAAGACCTTTCTATTAAATCTGATTTCATATTTAATACTTCCGTATAGTATAAAGCTTTTCTTGGAATTCATTACATCGTTAAGATCCTAATTTTTATTTTTTTTAATATGAATTGTATATAATATAAAGTACGAATATATATACTTGATCCTTACTTTAATTATCTTCAATGAATATTTACGCCACTATATTTGCAGGGTTATAATTGAGATTTCCTGAGCTCAATCATTTAGTTGCAGTATCCAATGCACTGCTTTGGTTACCAATAAATGAATTATTGCTTCCAATAAATGCTGGATTTGAAATATCAACAATTTCCTCAATTGATAATTTGTTATTATTGATTTCTTCTAGCCATTTATTGTGAGGCTCAGAAATAGGATTAAATGAATTAGAAAAATCTTCATCAAATTTTTGAATAGTAAATTCTAACTGACTAGAGTTCATGATTGATCCATTTACACTATCTCTTAAATCATACTTAGATAATTCTTTTCCATAAAAGGATAGTTCTTCTTTAATATTCATATAACAGAAGGTTCGAATTTTTGCAATTGCTTCTAATCGAAATATATTTAACCTTGTTCTGTGATCTCCAAATAACTATTTAAGAGTTGAAAATTTTCTTTCACATACAGCTTGTGATGGTGAGATAGAAAAGATCTTGATAGCAAGTTCTGTTAATAGCTCTTTTTGAGTATCCATACTAAGCCACCACATTAATGGAGATTCCTTTTCTTTTTTAAATGGTTGAACATAAGGTTTTTCTTTACGTTTATAAGCATGAAGCTCAGTTAGCAAATCTTCACATGATGCTTCATCATATCCCAAGTCTCGCCACATACTGGCTGCAGTTTCACAAATTTTATAAAATTGACCTTTATTTAATCCAATACCTCGATATAATAGGTGTAAATAATATGCAAGTTGATATAGTGGTGTTGCAAATTCTTTAAAGCGTGAGTTATAAATTTCTATAGCCTTAGGCTTAAATAAATTTGAATTTGGAAGACGATTAATAGCTGCGGCAATTTTAATTAGCACAACATAACAATCAGCAATAGTTGCATACCGATTTTCTAATTGATTAATCATGTCTTTAACAGGTTTCATTATTGCTGATATGTAACAACAATCATTAAAAAAATCTAGATTTTGAATTAAATCAAATACTATCTTGTTTGAAATTGTAATTGCATGATAATTGATAAGCCAATCAAAGACTGGTT